AAGGAAAAATAATAAACAAGCACATGCGCAAACAATGCGCGCAATAAAAATTCTCGGCGGTACCTTTTTGTGTGTAATGCATCCTGGAGTTGGAAACACGAGCCGTTAAACGCGCGTGTGAGAAAATCATTGCCGCCGACGAACATGCAGCATCTCGTGGCACATTTCCTTGTAAATAAACGTGTTGAGAAAGAAATTTGCCAGAGCAATTAATATTTGCGGAATGCGGCAAAAAATTACAACCTACCTTAAATCTTTTTATGTTCTCACTGAAATAATTACGAGCAACAATTTGAAATTAAATTTCACGAAAACAACAAGAGAGTTTTTCAGTTTCAAAAGTTGTCTCCTGTTTAGGTTGAAGTGGAATTAGTGTTTTTCGAGCAAATTTAATTCAAATCATTTAATCAATTTAATGATAATAATAATTATTATTATCTGAATATATTTGTGCAGTAATTTGCAAATTATCTTGATTCATTAGTTAATTCTTTTGTTTTAAATTATTGTAAGAGCAGAAAGCCCAGCGGGTCCAAATGGACCAGAGCCCTAATTTGCAGTAATGGCTTTAAATGTAAAAGAAGGCGCGGATCATTATCAGACACGCAACAAAGACGTAAGCATTGCGTTTTTTTTTTTTTTAGTTTTCTCGCCGTTGTGTGTGTTTTTGACCTGGCGAGAGCGTCTCTTCGTCGGGATGTAATTTGAATTCAATTTGCCCCGAGTTGCGAAAAAGATTAAAATCCTTTCTCCGCGTGTGGGTGCCCAAAGGCTCTGTGTCATTCCACTCGCGCTGAATTCATAAATCACCATCAACTCTCGAGAAGAATGAGAAAAGCATCGCAGCAGCACAATCAAAAGAGAAGGCGCGTGATAATTATGACTAAATTAACTTCTGCATCAGGAGCCATTGTGCGGCCAATTTCGGTAATGGTCCCGCCGAGAATTTCACAATTCTTTCTCTCGCATCTAAAAGAGTCTTAATTATGAAATTTGCATCTTTGGTTCATCTTAATGGGGTCTATATTTATATTTATGAAGATTTCGTATGCATGAACTTCCTCTTCCTAGCCTTAATCGAAAGCAACAAAAAATTCGGATGTTTTTGTAAACTTTAAGCTCAGATAAATGAAATGACCTGCCAAATTAATTTATTATATACAATAAAAATAAAACAAAATTTAATTAAATTATAATATTAAAAAAAAAATCAAACAATATATTTTTAATTAACAAAAATTATTAAAAAATATATAATATTATTTATTAGAAAAAATGACAGTAAAATTTTTTACATAGTTTTTTATTACGATTATCGATTGATTAATTTCATCACTTGTAAAGAAAAATTACTAAATTAAACATAAAACATAATCATTGATATTTACTGACCTCTGATTTTGTCAGGCCAAAGAAATGACTGCGCTAATTGTAAGAAAAAAGTTGAAAATAATTAATATCCAAGGCAGACAGGATAATCTCATCGAGCACTTGTTTCGCATTGATGTGTTTTGTGCCAAACCTAAAACATGAAAGTGCCTGTCTGGTCGGCGCTGTCCCAATTATATGCATTAGCACAACACACGCCGACGCAGAATCTCCGAAAACCGTCCTTGCGTGATCATTTCGTTGAATGAAGTCATCACAATCAGCAACAAAACACAATATATGTAAAATTATTACATCACAAGGTAAATCGCAGAAGAGAAATCATGAAATCAGGGATCGAGAATGTGCATTTTTTTTCGTGTTAAAATTTTTTATGCATAATTTTCGCTCAGAACGCCGATATGAATGAACGTTGCTGCAGGCGATATTATACAAAGTGAAGAATGGATGAGAAGTGTTGATGTGCGTCACATCAATGCTCTTTGTTAATAATGCGCACGTGTGTTGTTTGAAGCGAGAGCTCATCTGTCACTCTTTGATCACACGCCAGATGCATTTTTTTCCTTCAATATGGCCCATTTTTTGTAAAACATTTTCAAAAGCGAAAATGCATTAGAAAGGCGGAAAGGATTTTTCTGAAACTATTTTCATGATTAATTATTTTTTGTTTCAGTTTTAGAAAGAAGATTAATGTTTAATTTTGTTCAGAGCTAAAAGTTTAGCAATAACTTACTTTTTTAATTTTTTCTTGCAAAAAATTCCAAGAAATATATGAAATTGACCTATTTATTATGACTTGATTTACTGAACATTTTTGTGGCGGCTGCTTTGATTGTCTTTTTTTTGTGTGCACAAGTTTCCAGAGAAAACGTGAATCCCCTTTGATGGCATCTTGGCCATCCGATTTCGCAAGAGTGATACAAAAATAAACATACGGAAGCACATCTGACAATGAGAGAGTTTGCGACAATTGGTGGTAATTACTTTGCTTGTAATTTGAGTACCAACGAGAGCTGCAATTGAAAAGTAATTCCAGTTGCTTTTTGTCGAAGAACCTTTAAAGCCACGGCGAGAGCGGACAAAACATTTTGAATTCCTTTCCTGCGCCACATTACAATAAAAAGAGCCTACTTAAAACACATACGCAGCTAGAACGGCATATATAATATATTTCTGAAGTGAAAGGAATCGATTTTATCATAAAGCGCCGCGTCGGCATATACTCGAGGGGACATGTCTGGTGAATAATTTATTTGGCTCCGAAGTGCATCATTGTCATTGACCGCGCGCTTATTAAATGCAACAGATTTTCCCTCCAGACAGATCCAAGAGAGAAAGGTCAGATATTTAGAAAAGAGATGCTCTCGTCGTCACCGAATCTTTCATCTCTCTCCTGCACTTGTTGACACACTGCTGCGAGGAATTTTATAAGAAGCCAAGTCACTTGACTGCATTTTTGCGAAATTCACCAGCTTGTAATTTCACTCGCTCGCCTCCTTTTTGCATGAATCTCGCGGATAATCTAACCAAGTGTTTGTCGCAACTCATTGTACTAAAGTGCCGACAATTTGTCCGCATATCTTTTTCTAGGTCGTCCTATTCATTACATTTAAACGGCGTTTTCACGCTTCTTGGTTTTGCGATCCGACTAGATATATATTTGCATAATTTTTAGTAAGAGTTGCATATTTGACACCTCTTTTGGAGACAATGAGGTGACGAAAGGTCTTACCTTGGATTTTCAGTAAAAACAAACATCTACGATCAGGTGCTAATGATGAAGCGCCAAGGATTTACGTCCAACCGAAATTGATTTGCTAATTCAAATTGTATTTGTTCTCTGCTCTCTCTTTTTTTTCGCACGCTGCATAGTTTATTCTTTGTGACCTTCAATTTGCAAAAATTGTGTTCAATTGTTAAGTGATTTTTATTTTATTGGTTTGCGAATAATGTGATAATTAATGATCTAGGCACGTGCGCTCGTTGTTGGTGGTAATTACAGACTTGATAACAGCAAAAGCCGTTACGGATAATAGCGGTCCATTCATCATAGTGCCGGTACTTTTAAACGAAGGTCACGCGCACTTCACATCAAATGCTAATTCGCGAAAAAAAGTGGCCGTCCTCCTCTCGTCACACCATTAAAAGCGCATCTCTCTTTTTTCTTTTGAATCCGTCCTCAAGTTATTTCTCCCTTGACATTTACACTTTCTAAAACAAACTTTGGTCCATCCAATTGTGTATTACTTTATTATATATTTTTCCAATAGAAATCTGATCCACAGCCCGAGATTACGGCTAGAGAACTTGTTTGACTTTTTTTGTGCGTAAATCAAACTGCTGGCATTAAAATCTCCAGCGGATTAATTCGGGGAAACAAGATAAATTATACATGGAATAAGCAGACGCATAGAAACTTTTTAGTTTCCATTTATCATGAACAAGTGGACGAACAAATTTATCTCGATTCATTAGGAAAGCAATCTCGTCCCTTTTCATTAAAATATTTTTATGCTTGAAACGGAGGGAAATTTTCGCTTGTTTAATGAGGAATTCCGCGAGCGAAGGGGTCAATAAAATAAAATAAGCAGCCGCGGACGTTCTCGCGTGTCCGACTGACTGACTGACTGACTGTTTGGTCTCTCTCTCGTCTTTTGACCTCTGCTTGCCCCAGCAGCAAGCCGGCTTGCGATCGGAACTTTCTTCTCCAATAATAAAAATACAACGTTTATCGCTTGTTTTACTTTTTACTCCGCATTCCGCCTACTAGATTTGCATTTGCACACTCTCTTTGCATTTCACTCGGAAAAGCTTTTAGCCGAAAATCAACTGACATTGTTTCCTTTGCTTTTTACGAGCGCTTCTCCTTATTGAAAAATTCTTTCTTATGAAATTTCCTGCTTTTGCGTGCATAATAAAGTAGAAATGTGCGCCGGCGTGTTTAATTACGATTCAAATCAAATACACACAATCATGCTTTTTACTAAGAAAGGTGCCGCGCGCGCACTTTTTGAGCTAGCCTTAATTGAGGATGTAATTAAATTGACCGTGACACGCGAATCAAAATATATACGCTCTCCACAAGCATTATAAATATAATCATTTGCACATCTTTCCTCATAAAACTTAATTTGCCTCAAATTGATAGAGAGCAGTTTTATAGTTTTTTGTTTCGACGGAGAGTGAAAGAAAATTTTCTAGTCCCATTCAGATAAGGATGCTTTTTTCGAAGCGTTTCCGAGATTTGCCCGTGGCAATGACGAGACCTTCGAGGGCACCCACATCAACTCACGTACCGATCGACCGTTTACTCGCTTGGAAGAAAGTAAAGAGATGCGCCCGGCGAGATCACCTTGGAAGAGCGCGAGAGAGAGGCAGAGAGAAAGAAAGAGTTTTGTGTGTGTGTGTATGTGTGTGTGATTATGGTACAGAGTGGAATATGGGTTCTCTCGTCGTCGTAGGCTGGGAACTTTCCATTTCAACAATTTCAGAGCCGCCGCGATGAGACTCGTATTTGAGTGGGGGAGTCGAAAAAAAAACCAGTAAGACGCCGATGGGAAAGGCTCCTCTAGCTAAGCGTATACCACCTATGTGCGCCCGGCTTTTCAAACGCGGCGCAGACAATTTCAGCAGCAGCATCTTCCTCCTTTCATCCCTACTCCTAGGGTAGGGCCGGGGACGAGTATAAAAGCGCGGGGTTCCCAGGACCAGACATCAGTAAGTCATCTGCCTTTGTGTGGATACATCTTCTGACCGCCATGAAAGTGTTTGTGGTAAGTCTGCAACTCAAGTTTCGATTCGAATTTCAAAGTGACCAGCGCGGTTTTATTTAGTTTTATCAGTGGATAATTTTACCAACGCTCAAATCAGTCAACGGCAAAGCTAATTATTTAGCAATTATTAGTATAATTTAACTCTTAGATATTTATAACTTTAAAAATAATATTTTTTATTAATCTCCACCACAATTTTTTTAAATGCATTTTTATAGACTTATTTATTTAAAACACTTTTATTTGTTTAATTAATTTCTGATATAAAATTTTTTGCTTTTTGTAGATCGTCGCGTCTTTGCTGGCGCTTGCCGCTGCCCGCCCTGAGGCTGGCTACTCTTACAACCCCCCTAGCCGCCCCAGCTCATCTTATGGAGCTCCTTCCTCCGGAGGCGGTAGCTTCGGTGGCAGCTTCGGCGGTGGCCACAGCTCAGGAGGTGGCGGCCACAGCTCTGGAGGTCACGGTGGCGGATTTGGCGGTGGTGCCATTTCCGGTGGATCTTTCAGCTCCGGCGGATCTTTCAGCTCCGGTGGATCTTTCGGTGGCGCCTCTCAGGGAGGATTCGGCGGCGGATTCCAGTCTTCTGGCGCCTCGTCTGGCTCCTTCTCCGGTGCCTCATCTGGCTCCTTCTCTGGTGCCTCTGCTGGCGCTTCCTTCGCCCCTGGCCCCATCATCCAGAAGCACATCTACGTGCACGTTCCTCCCCCAGAGCCTGAATTCATCCAGTCCCAGCGTCCCGTGAGCGCCCCTGCACCCAGGAAGCACTACAAGATCGTGTTCATCAAGGCCCCCTCTCCTCCCGTGCCCACCGCCCCCGTCATCCCCGCCTTCGCCCAGGACGAGCAGAAGACCCTCATCTACGTGTTGGTCAAGAAGCCCGAAGACGCACCCGAAATCAACCTGCCCACCGTCACCCCCACCGCTCCCAGCAAGCCCGAGGTCTACTTCATCCGTTACAAGACCCAGAAGGAGGCTGGTGCTGCCATTGGTGGTGGTGCGGCCATCGGTGGAGGCGCTGCCATCGGCGGTGGCTACGCAACCAGCGGAGCTTCGGCCATCGGTGGCGGATACGCCTCCGGCGGTAGCTCCCACGGCTCGTCCTCCAGCTCCGGAAGCTTCGCCGCCTCCGGCTCCGGCGGCTTCGGCGCCTCTGCCCCCTCATCCTCCTACGGAGTTCCCCAGACCGGCTCCGGTCCTTACTAATCACCTAATTGAATGTTCACCTGATGATGAGAAGCAGCAGCAGCATGTGTGTTTTGAATGTAATAATCGCGTTAAGTTGAATAATAAAAATGTCCCGCAACCTGATAATGATCCTAGCGAGGGACGCCACGGGTACCAAACTGAGGCCGGTGCCCCCCGGCCGACCCTTCCAACTGACGAGTCTCGTCGAGACTCATCGGCGTGGAAATCGACGCACGTCCTCCACAATTGTAATATATTTTTGTATCATAGAGAAAACATCTTTTTGCATAAAATGATGAAAGGCAATAAAAATTTTATTGTTCTAAAAAAAAACATCTGTCTCTTTGTCCTGCGTTTACCTTTTGCAACACATCTGCTTATTTCCATATCACGTATCTGCCGGGCATAATGAAGCGAACACGATGTAGGACATCATCTCAATTAATTGCGCTTTTCGCATTCGAGAAAGCCTCGGCGTGACCTCTGGCCCGGCTGCCGCTCGCGACAGCAGAGATGACACAGCAGCGCAGCAGAAAGGCGAATTTCACTTTCTTGCCTCGGGCGCCGCGATCTCATCTCCCATGGTGCCCTATGCGGCTCCCATGCTAATTCAGCGACCGACTTCTCAGACGTTGATTAACAAAAAGAAATAAATACACACTCACATGCACCTGTGCGCTCTTGAGAGAGAAATCCGCCAAAGTGCTGGAAAGCGTCTTCTGCGCGAGAATAGATTTCTGCGAAACTCGCTAATAAAGTCTTCAATTGTTTTCAATTTGCTTCGCACCCGTCGTGAGCGTTGGAAGAAAAATTGCTGACTCTCCTGTAATGATGGCAATTTTTCGTGATTTATGCCAACCTGCGCGCTTCCAACACTTGAACTCAAGAGAGCCAACAAATCATTACAAATTGGCTCAACATTGGAGCATCAAGTGGCAATACAATAAATTGACTAAACTTATTTTGTAGTGCTCATTGTAAGCACATAAAATCTCCTTTTAAAACTTAAAAAGCAATTTTTTTTCTTTTTTTTAATTTATTTTAGAAAATGTGAGGTGAGAAGCAGTTATGCAAATTTAATAAAATTAAAGTGTGAATATGCACTTTATATACCTTTTTATAGCAGTTCAAAAAATCTTTTCGTGTACATAAATTTACATATTCATGAGGGGTCATTTCTTGTTCAGAAGACATTAGCCGACAATGAGGCGTTGTGCTGCTGCCTCGCTGCGAGAATAATTGGCGCGCGGGAGAAATTTTTCTTGGCCCTATACATGCATCATTATTCATACTTCATGAGCCGAGCGAGTACACGATCTGCTTGTTTGTTACAAACTCTCGTGGGCTTTTTTCTGCACAACCCACACCAAGAAACCGAGATTAGAGCTACCATTTCCTCAAAGATTTCGACGGTGCAATTTTATTTTTTTAAAGTATATCGTTCTTTTACCCACTCTGTGCTTCAATTATTTATTTTCCTTTCACTGTTCAGTGCGCAGCGCATTGCTGCCTCCGGCATCTACACTAAGGATTGTCTGTAAAAAAATTACAAAAATATATCGCTCTGTGTGTGTTTAAAAAAAACTTACTAAATTATTGACTCCAATTTTTCATTTTCATAAATTTGAATAAAATTTGTTATTGTTTAATTATTGAATTTAGTGTGGTTGAAGAACGTGAGTTAACTGGAATTACAATTATTTCCACAGGTTTCCTCATTTTTTGCAGAAAATAATAATAATAATAATATTAATAACATAATACACACTATGTTAGTGTCAAATTGGAGTTAAATAAATTCTTTATTGAGTGATAAATTGCTTACGTTAGAAAATAATTTATTATCGGATATATAATTTAAATATTTAATTACTAATTAAAATGTTTATTAGGCTCTGGTCTAAATTTAAATAACACTTTTCGCTATATTATAATTCTTATTGTTCTAGAAAATTCTTCATGAGACTTGGACAGGTGGCAGCAGCTTGCTACTTCTTCAAAGGTGAGTACCCTGGCGAACACTTGGAGAACGCAATCGCAGCTCCCTCTCTCGGTGATGCCCTCTGGTTTTTAGAATGCTTGGGTTAGAGGTCAGGAGTTTTGGTTGCGACACGAAATTAAATGGATATATGTTGCAAGAAAAAATTCACCTTTTTAGCTGCACCTATACAGCCAATAATAAAATAAAGTCACAGTTCCATGAAGCATACTGGGTCAAAGCGGCACAATCAGAGCTTTATTTTAAGAATGTATGAGAGACTTAAGCTATTTTAATTTACTTCTTACATAACAATAATATCTGCTTTAATTTAAAATGGAACTTAACTATTAAGGTAAAATGAATTTTATTTCATTTATGCATTCATAAATAATAATAATAATAACTTTATTTTTTTTTTAAATTAATTAAATAATATAATAATAAAAAACTATTTTAATCATTTGTCAAATAGTACTATTAGTTCCTTCAAATTTAATTTGAAATGTACTTTAAACATTAAGTGATATTACCAGATAATTTTGATTACCAATTTAAAGGAAATATCGTGCATAATTTTTAATTAATCTGTTTATTATAAATGAAAAAGTTTTATTTAAAACGTAACAATAAAACTATCTGAAAATCTGAATGTAAATATAATAATTTAATCTGTAATTATGTTAGTTTTGTCCATGACGCCTCCAATTCACACTAAAAAATCAATAATAACGTGTTTAAAGCGCCTGATGGTTATGCATCCTGCCGGGCGTCTGGTTGACAGCCTGCGGGCGCAAGAGTTATTACACGTTGGTCGTCTCCGCAATCATTATGTAAGATGACGAGTGATGAGCACCAGTGCTCGCATAATGAATTCAAAGCCACTTTCTCTCCCACCAAAACCAGACTCATCCCGCGGCATCGCACCGCCGCAGGTGAAATTCTCGATTGCCTTTTCACGTTTGTTGTTAGATGGCTCTCAAATGCTGCTTTGAAATATCCATGAAGACTGAAGGAATATTTCGTACAGATCGTTTTATATAAAAAAATTATTATCCGTAGACACTCTTATGCTGTGAGAAAAATATTATTTTAATTGAAATAATGTTTCAAACATATTGAATTTTCCGGAATATATTAATTTTTTTATATATATATTTAATCATTTTTTGCTTGTGAGCGTGTCCATCAGTCAAATTTTATTCTCCAAAAACCAATATTTTACAATTGATTGTTCTTACTTTTTTGAGAGTAAAATAAATGAATGAAGTGAAAAACATTCAAACGATAAAATTTATCTGTGCTATATTTTTGTCGCGGTCATTTAAAATTTCAAATATGCTAATATCGAATAAGATATTTTATTGAACAATGAAATAATTTCTAAGAATAAATAATTATTTATATTTATTTATAAATTTTACTTGCAATTTACTGAAATTTTGTAATCATCTAATTAAAAAATACTTTATTCTCATAATTGGTAACTTATGTCATATAAGTTGAGCGATATAATTATTAGAGCATGTACTGGGAAATGGTATGGGATGTTCTTTTATCGCACCGCCATGTAGACATGAAATATCCTTTTATACCGTTTTCAAATCTGTTGTTAGATGGCTCTCTTATACCGTGTATAAAATAAAACTAAAAAAGACTGCAAAATTTAAAAGTTTCCTGCTCTTACATCCTCAATTTAGTCATAGTTTAGTAATCAATCGGATTGTAGAGGGTAAAAATAAAGGAGGTAAATATAATAATTGATAATTAAAATGAAAATTCTCTTCATTCATTTCATACAAATCCTCATTTTTATATTTTTAAAGCCATTTATAGCTTTTTTGCACAAATTGAAATCTATATAAGAACAATAATAGTTCCAGGAATTCAGAATAATTCCAGTCTGTCTGAAAATGCTTATTCCTATTGCTTATTAACTTTTAAAATTTGAAATTTTTAATTTTGTTTAAAAATGTACTCTTAATTGACGATGAAAATATTATTAGAGCTCCATGAGCATTTTTTAAATTTTAAATCACTATTAAGTGGTTATAAAAAGTATAAAATAGGTGCTTTTTTTTAAATATAAATAAGAAAATATGTTTTAAATATTCCTGGGACTCTTTTCAAAAATTAATTTATTAAGAAGCGCGTTCAAGAGCGAAAATGAGCTAAATTGAAAATAAACAACATTATTTGAAACGTATTCAAAGCACAACAAAGATTATTCAACATCCGTTTGCATTTGAGCGTGCAGCTTTTGCGATTTAATCTCACGCGAGATGCTGGTCGCGATTAAAAGACTTAATATAATTAAGCTGCTATAGGAGAAGAGCATTCCTTCGCGCCGCGTGCACGCACTTCGCACCTTTTAACAAAATTAATTCATTCCCGTTGCATTACAGGCAGTTACGCGAGAGAGCTTAATTACGGAAATGCCTTCATTTGTTTGCTAATTCGTGGTGTTTTACAACCGAAGAAAGCGAAATGGAATTAAATGAGAAGCTTTTGTTTGTTTGGAAATTTAATATTTCAACGGCCAATCTTCCAGCTTGTTAAACAATTATCCAGCAACGGGAGATGACACCGGAAGAAATATTTTTAAGTTTTTAGGACTTGTAAAACTTGATTTCTGCGAAAAAGTCCAGCATTAATTTGCAAAAAGTGAGAGTGCCTGTATCAGCATATTTTTCCATTAAATTTCCATACACCGTAGATTAAAATTCATCATTCTGTGAGAAGAATGAAAGAAAGTCAAACTAGAGGTGAATGAATTCATGTGGGAAATTGATGCGAATTCCCATTATTTGCGCTACACGCTGAGATTCAGTGCAGTATATTTTATACGGATAGCGAGAGAAAAAAATTATAAATAAATAATAAAAATCAAGAGAAATTCTTTTCTCTTTCTTAAAGATATATATTGTCCTGATGGAGAACAATGAATTCATTATTTTTTATTTTTAAATTGGTGCAATTGTCTGAATGAAATGCATTTTTTTACTACAAAATTCCTTTTTATTTTCATCTCATATTATTAAGTTCAATAATATTCTCATGTCATCTATGTACACACACAAACGGATCCTTATAATTAAACGAGTCACGTGGTGGCGTTTTTTTTCTTTATATCGGAACATGCAATGCGTAACGCCGGCGCATATACATTAATATATCATGTAAGGATGTTGATACACGATTCGGGAAGTCATGAAAGCCTTAAGAACTACAACATTCTCGTGCGCATGACAATCGCAAAAAAAAAAAATACCTAAAACAATGCTGCTGCTGCAAGTGGGGTCGAATTCGATTCAAAAAAATTAGTCGCTGCCGTGAGGAGCGAGTTAAAGGGGTGATGGCTTCGGTTTGCAACTAGAAAAAAATGCACTCCCCGACCGGTGGAGTCGAAAGGGCGCCGAATATTTACAAGGGGCTCGAGCGGTCCTTTCTGGCGGCCGGGGACAGTGGGGCTGCTGCTTACTGGGGGGGTCCGTAGCTGGAGGAGGGTCCAGTGCTGGGCAGGGGGCCTCTGTAGGTGGTGTCGGGGATGGAGGGTCCCGAGGGGGCTCCGTAGGTGGAGGGGGGAGCGACGGCCGGGGGTCCGTACTTGGCGCCCTGTTCCTTCTGGGTCTTGTAGCGGATGAAGTAGACCTCGGGCTTGCTGGGCTTGGTGGGGGCGGGCGTGGGGATCTCGATGTCGGGCTGCTCCTCGGGCTTCTTGACCAGCACGTAGATGAGGGTCTTCTGCTCGTCCTGGGGGAAGGCGGGGATGACGGGCGCGGTGGGCACGGGAGGGGCGGGGGCCTTGATGAACACGATCTTGTAGTGCTTCTGCGGGGCGGGCACGTTGTAGGTCTTCTGGGGCCGGATGTACTCGGGCTCTGGGGGAGGAACGTGGACGTACACGTGCTTGTGGATCACGGGGGCCTGAGGGGGTGCTCCGTAGCCCGAGCTGGGGTAGGGACCGCCCGACGAGGGCTGAGGAGCCGCGTAGCTGTCGACGCCGCCCGAGAAGCCGGTCGATCCGAATCCGCCGGACGAGTAGCCGCTGCTGGATCCACTCGAGGAGCTACTGAAGCCGTTGCCATGGTAGCCCAGTTCGGCCGTAGCCAGAGCCATAAGGCTCGCCATCACCTGAAACAGATTCAATTAAAATTAGAAATGAAAAATTAATATTAGATTTTATAAATTTAAATTATAAAATTTTGAATTTATAACTCGACAGCTGCAAGTAAGAAAAACAGTTGCAGAAACGATTTGAAAAACCAAATCCACAAATTTTCTTCCGTGCGTCCGTCGAATTCGAAACACTCCTGGTCGTAATTTTTTGAGTAGTAATCCAAATAAGCGGCTTCTCTGGGTTGAAAGGTTGCACTTTGTGAATAAGTCGCAGGCACTCACCACGAAAACTCGCATGTTTGAACACAGGACGATCAGCTCAGCAGGGTAAGGCTGAGAGCGGGTTGACTGATGCGGCTGCTTTCTCCGCCACCTTCTTTTATACGCGGCGCTGCGGAGAAGGGGCCGCGGAGAAAACACTCGCGTTGGTTCATCCTTGGCTCGTCCGTCCGCGCGTCCCTGCCGCCGGTGCCATGCACTTGCGCGTCCATCTCTTGCCTGAAACACCCTTCCTACTAGTTAGCATAATTTAGGCTTTGTTGCGAAATGCGTTAAGTGTTTTCGTCCGCGCGCAAAAAGTGATTGTAGGCTGTTTGTCCGATCTCGATCAGGGTCGCAAACCATCATCGCAATTTGCGTGTGTCCACTAATTTTTTTTTTTACTTACCATACTTTGTTGATTCTAAGGTGACAAAAATGAATGGTCGGTTTTTATTTTAATTTATTGATTTTTTTTATCATTTATTATAATAAAAATATAATTAAAACTTTTTTGTAAAAATTAATTAAAAATATTACAAATACTTAATTATTGCATATGTTCTTATCTAAATTTTTAATCTTAAACTTCAACCTATGATTTATTAAAAAATTATGCCAACAATAAATTCATTATTTTATTCCAGTTTTTTTTTCATTGCTGATAAATCAATATGAAAAAATGTCAATTAAAATCAAAAATGTTTTGAGAATTTTTTATATTTTTTATTATTACAAATTAAAAAGAATGGAGATCAAGTGGCTTCCCTTCTCTTGCAGCGATTGTGAGTGACACCTGTCGCTTTTGTCACTCGTGCTAATGCCTCACTCGCGTGTCTCGACTTTTATGTAACTTTTCGACAGCAGCCCAAAAGTGCACTCGGGCATTGTAGACGTACTTCTTTCGTGCCTATAATTGCGACGCGCTTTTGTTTCCACGCAGACTTTGCCTGTCAGATTACTTATTTTTCGCCACAGAGACCTAATGACACATAATTGTAAAAAAGGTGCAATTTAGCCGGTCGCATGCTCGATTCTAAAAATAAAAATATTCTCATCAAGTGAAGGATGAGTTGCCGGTTTTTGGTCCATTTTTTTTATCCTGCCGACCAAATTGGAAACCTGCAATTAAGAGATGCTAAGAGGCTTTTTGCATGAATTTATTTTCTGCCGAGTCTTGAAATTCGCTGCACAATTTTGATTTTCTCATTAGATTTTAGCACGTGTATGCAAAAAGTGAAACGGAAAATAAAAAAAAGGAAGAATTATAAGAGCGTGTTGTAAACAGAACTGCACACATCCTCTAATTACACCGGTTGTATCAAGATAAAATCGGGAGAAGTGCGATATGCGTCCGGTAAAATGTGCTTTCAATCGAAAAAAAGAGGAGAGAGGCGCCTTAAAATTTCCTCCCGAGCGCTCATTGTTACGCCAAACTCATTATTAATTATCGTTGCAGCACAATAGAATAATGTTTGCTATTCAGAATAAAAAGGTTTATGATTGATGTCGAGGAATTTCGCAAGATGAAAACGGCTTCTTTTCTTTTGCTCCGGACAAACTTAATTTGCACCGCACTCTCCGTGTGTGAGAAAAGCTAGTCAAATAGGGTATGTAATTCGCATTGCCGGCCGCCGCGCAAAAACACCAGCGGTCCCTTTCGCTTCTCTCGGCACGACGATAATTATTTTAATCTCTAAAAAGGCGACGGGATTAAACACACTCATATGACTTGTGTTCACACCGAGTGATAAATAGGCAAAAAGTTTGCAACTCTAGCAGGATGTGATGATTATGCACATTTTGTTTCCTGATTGAGCTTGAGAAAATTTTGTTTCTTAAAGATAAAAAACAAAAATTTAAAAAACCATTTAACAAAAATAGGTATTTTATTCATATAATTTCTTATATTTTAATCATATAATAAATTTTCTTATTCATATTTTATTTTAATAGTAATTTCAATTTTACAATTTACAATTTACATTTATAATATTTTGATAACATGCACATAGCATATAAATTTAAATTCAAAAGTTTTCCTATTTCTATAAATAATGTCAGAATATAATGACTTTATGGGTTCGTATTGTTAAATAACTATGTTGATGAATCCCATATTGTTTAATTTAATTTTAGGTATAAATTCATTCAAAAATATTAATTTTAAGGATCACACCTTCATATTGGTGCGTAAAATTGAAAGTATTTAAATTCACAAGCAAACAAATTAAGCAAATATGTCCCGGTTTTAGTTGTAATTAAAATTTATTACGTGGTTGAAGTTTACATTAGCACAATTTTCTTGCTTCACCGATTCGCCGAAGTCGGCGTTAATTAATGAACCTCCAGCCGGTCAACCTCGACCATTGCGATTATTTGCGAGCAGCCCCGTAGGGCTGATGTGTGCGCCGACCGAACTCTCAGTTTCCCTCTACCATGCGAATGAATGGTTTCTTTCTCGGTCTGCAGTAAAGCTTCTTGTGCAATTACCCTTCATTCCCAAACAGCCCTTGGTCAAAATCGGTTGTTTACTTTCGAGAGGAATTGAATTCGGACATTTTGGAAAGGCTAAAATAGCCTCGACTAATTATTTGTGCGGAAAGAAGTAATTTATATAAATTAAAATGTGTTCTTTTTACGCGAAATTTGTTAATTATTATTTTGCCGGTCGGGAATTATATAATTTCAGGGGAAATTTGCTTCACTTGCTCGATTGAGGCATCACGAGCTGCCGTAATGAGACACGAGAGTGCGATAAAAACAAATTCTTTCGCTAAAAAATTATGCACACATCACACTGCATGACCACTCACTCTCGGTACACAACAATGATGAAGTGTTCGAAAGTTTCCTGTGTGAGAAAATTATTATCGTCGATTATCTCACTGTAGAAATCAAAAGCAAATTTTTAGTGAATATAATTTTCATAATGATCACGCCTTTCGTAATTTCAAGCGGGCGCACCTTATTTACTCAGCCAGACTTATAATTGGGGTCGGTCAAAAAGAGTTCTTTTTAGTCTTTTTTTAATCGACCTGCAGTCCTCGACGAGCCAATTATTTATGAGATCACCTCTCTCTGCACTCGGCCGAGGCAAGATTTGTAGAAACACACGTAGAAATTTATAGGCTTTTAATTATCACACCGGGTCAGCAGGCAGGTGGTCAAGATGAGCAAACTCTCTCTAATTGATTGCGGCGGTAAAGTGTCTAAAGAAAACCTCGGACTAACAAGAAGTGGTCGTCGCGTTTCATAACTCAGCGAGATGCCTTGATCGCTTCTCTACTTTTCCCAATTCCAGCAAAAAATGCACGGATCTGTTTTCGGACAAAAAGCACCACCGAGGGCCCTGACTAGGCGCATTTTCGCCTTGGCGCTGACGAAACTGGGTTTTCGTGGCGCGGCCTCCGAGCACATCTGAAGCATCTTTTGATTCATCCGAGCTTAATTATTGTGCAGTGGCCAGATTTTTTCAGCGGTGTCACTTTCTTACGCAGATTAAATCACCTAGTCTCAAGGATGTTTGCCATTCATTGGATTTTAATAGACTAAGCGCAGGTCAAATATTATCGTTTCTCACATTAAATAATTGAAAACTCAAGGATGATTACATAACAAAGAATAATTTTATTGGAAAAAAATATTTGCCATCAATTTATTTATAAAAAATTGAAAAATCAATTAACCAATATTTCAGATTTTTATGAAACGTATAAGGTATTATTTTAAAAAATTAAATAAATACAAATAATATAATTTTTATATATTAAGTTATTACATTATTTTAAATAATTTTTAATTTTTTTTTAAAAATAAAATAATAATTTATAATAATAATAATAATTTTCTTTTTCTTATGTTGAAAACCAACAATTATTTTTTTTTATTATTCTTTTTATTTAAAAAATTTATTTATATTTTTTAGCAAATTGTATATAAGAAAATTTAAATTTAAAGGTTATTTTTTATTTGCTCTGGCCTACTCTGGCGGTAACATTGATTAGATTATGCTATTATTGTAATCTATGTATTACTTATAGACATTGTAATAATTATAATGGAAAAACTTGTTTATTGTATATTAAATACGCTGCATAACTTTTTATTCGGAATAAATATACGAGCTATGGGAAAAAGATATAGGAGCATCGTTCAGTGGAAGAGGCGGTGATCATAGCTGTCTCGCTACCGTAATTAGAGAATAAATCAAAGCCGGCGGCGGCCGCGCACTTTTTCCCGGCGCGTCGTTCACGGCGAGCGATTTGCAAAAGGGTTAGGTGCCGTGTGGCCGCGAGAGCAGTGATTTATGCGCAGTCATTTGACGAGTTCTAGAAAGTCTTTTGCTCTCGATCTTGGTTCACTCACTTGTCGGACTTTTTCTGTCAGCAATTATCGTGTTTGCACGGCGAAATGAGTTTGAATCATCTAATCGGCGCCGAGGTTGAAAAATTGCGCCGTATGACTTGGCACTAAAGGGTAAGAATAGAAGCAATTACTCGATTAACCACTTGAAAGTATGTAAATTGCTCGTAAAATTACATGTATATTTACAGTTGTTTAGTTTTCATAAACAAGCTAATAATTTTCTTTCTCACGCAAACTTACTTTTCCTAAATTTTGCTAAATAATTAATTTAAAGTTTTTAATTTTTTACGTTAAAGACCTTAAAAATCTTCCTGCATAACCTTAATTATCTATAAAAGGACATCTCTGAGCACGACCTTCATCTTTTGCAGCTCAATCTATAATAAATTCTGAAATTCTATAAATTTTTTTTTTACTGCTCGTACATTGAATGGAATTTCAGACGTGATTCGCCTTTTTAGTTTAGTCTAGTGTCCTCGAAACACTGATGTCACTACGTAGACCTTTTGCTCGCAGTTTATTGCCTCCATCGTCGCTGCTGAAATGCGAGTCTCGAGTGGCGAGAGAGAGAAAAAAACGCGCTCCTGACCTTCCGCGCCTTCGCAAAACCGCACCTATTTAATGATGTCTCTGTGCGTTACAATTAATTTTCATTACGCAAGACACGTGGGAATGCGCGAGCAAGTTTCCAAAATTGGTTTAAATTCAATTTCTCCGCTTGTGCAATATACAGAGGCGTTATTATGTGCTTTTGGCACTGGAATGACCGGCTGCGTTTAACCCAGATCACCTCCTTATCGAGCGGTTTAAAATCTCAATTGCTAATGTTTCGCGACGTGCGAGCCAAAAAAAAACGCAACAATTTCTCAATTACCCCGTCAGTGACTAAAAATAATTATGTAGTTAAGAACAATTTAAAATTCATGAGGAGGTTCAACGAAATAACGGTTTTTATAGAACTTTTTACAAAGAAAAGTAATTTTCATAGAAAAATTAACCTTTTTCTATTTGAATTAAATAAATTTAATTAATCCGAGTTATAAATTTTAGAAATGCATCAAATTTAATTAAACTATACTTAAAAAAAAAATCATTACTCTTTCATAATTCAAATATTATTTTGCATAAAATGAAATAAAATATCTATTTTCTTCGTGAAAAGTAAAATAAACAACAAAATTTTCATTTCTTTCTTTATTTCGCAGCAGTGTTGGCGTTTGCCAGTGACATGCACATTCCCGCGCAGCAAATTACGCATTCAAGAGGCGACACTCTAGCCCGGAGCATATAAATAAATAACGAGAACGTTCAAATTTTGCCTGGAGAAATGCGGTCTGCAGGATTTGTTGCGGGTGATGATGCAGTAGCGCAGCGGAAACTTTTCTCGCATCCGCTGAGATTTGAGAGTCACCGAAAGCGACTTGTGTGTTGATGTTCGCGCTGAGCCAACAGTCGGCTGAAGTCGGGGTCGTGTTTGACTTTCGCCACTGATCTATTCTGACAAGGGGAAGAAGAAATGTTAGGGGGCTGCACTGCAAGGACTTTTGCTGGCGAAAAGTAAAAATTAATCCAGTTCTTTAAATTAACAAACAAAAAAAGGAAAGATCATATTTAATTTGGATTAACAAGTATTGTGAGTATTTTTAAGGAAATAATTATTAAAAAAAAAATTTGGAAAAAATTCAAGGAGGTAATGAGAAATTTAAAGAATTTACAATTTTACATTATTTCAAATATTTAAATTATAATTGATTCATATAAAAAACATCATGTTTACTTTTTCGCTTTTCCATTCTCAAATCAAAACACATTCATAATTTAAAACGATTTTTTCTCTTAGGTTGCTCAAATTTGGTTTTTAAATAAGCTGCATGTTAATTTTTTTCCTTTTTTCATCCCACTAAATTTTTGTTTAGATTTCTGTCTGCAAACAACAGTAAAATAAATTGTCAAACTGGTGGACCTCTTTTGTTAATATGATAATGAGAAAAATATAATTATCAGCAAAAATAATAAACCAAATTAATTGAAAAAATGAATAATTAAAAAAGGACCTGCTTGCATTAGAATTGCAAATTTTAAGTACCAAAAATTTCAAATTGCATATCAGAGTGAGTTTTTATACTTTTTAGAGCTACGATTTTTTTGTTTTTTATGCAAGAGGCGATATTGCTCGCGCGACGCCACATAAATCTCTACCGCGCGCGCTTTTAAAGCTCGTCGCTGCAAAACACTTTGCAAACTGGGTCGCTCGCTAGACACAAAAACATCTCGCTATTTCACTCGCAACGAAAACACGCCGAGTACTGAGAGGAGTGAATATGCGCGTCTCGCCCGCGCAAAGATGGATTAAATAATGCTTTGGGCAAATATTTGAAAAGCAGATGAAAATAATTGGTAAACCATACATGAATATATGCGTCCGGTTAAGCCAAATGTTTGTTCAGAGAGAGACGAGATCCAGTTTCAGGATTGTTTCGACAAGTGGTGCTGCCTTTCGCCTCATCAGATTTACGAGCGAGCAAATTGCCGGACGACCGACTCGTGCTCGTCGTGCTCGCGAGCCTCTATCATTAAGCCCTTAAGTACACGGCCATAAGTCAAAAAGTATAATATGCATTTCTATTGGAGTGTTACATATTTCAGCTTTTGTCTCTGAATGCTAATGTCTGTGTTAAACGAAAAAACAAACGCTTCGTATTTTCACGCGAAGCATATAAAAACTTTCATTTGTTGACCGCCGGCCAAGAAGGTTTACGTTTGTGTGCTGCATCCCTAATCGCCGGTATAGAAATTTATTTTATAGTTATTTTTTCAGGCAAAATGGAGTAATCTGTAACTTTGTGTTTGTGATTCGCATTCAAACTGCTTCTTTCTCTTGCAATTGCATAATAAATTACGACAATAATTTATTAATCTTCATTATATTTACATCAATAAATAAATTAATTTATTTTCACTGGCTGGCGTCGGGAACGATTTGCTCGGTCGTTGCCTCGGTGGTGGCAGGGGTCGTCGTCGTCGTTTGTCCCACGGGGAGGACCACGATGGGGTCAATGGGGCTGGGCTTGAAGTCGGCCGGAGCGCTGGATCGCTGGGGTTCGCTCTTGGCCACGTGACCTTCCTCAGGTTTCGGCTTCTGGGCGAGGCGAATGGTGTCCAGGTCGATCTTCTTGGTGGCGAAACCAGAGGAGGGCAAGAAGTCGCTGTCGCTGCGGCTGATCAGTCCTCCGAGCTCGTTGTAGGTCTCGATGGCGTCGGCCACTTCTCCGATCGAATTGACGTTGCCCAAAGCTTGCACTGAGGCCTGCACCAAGCGAGGAAGGTTCTGCACGTCACTGGGGACGCGAGTGGCACCCTGGAATAATTTTTGGTTAGTTAAAATTAAATAATACAAATACTAATAAAAATAATATTTTTTACACATTTGTTTAATTTTTTAATTAACGCCAATTTTATAACTATGTAGAAATCCAACCACCGATTTATCGAATTGTGATTTATCATTTAAGTAAAATTGAAGTTGCTTCCAGTGAACTTATTTATTAAAATTTACATCAAGAAGATTAAAAAATTTAAATTTATGAATTATAAAATAAATAGAATTTTTTTATTATACAATAAAATCTATTTCAAATTTGAATTAAATAATAAAATAATAATTAATATAAATAAAATACTTAAATTAATTGCCTTGTCCCAAATTATTAGTACTTAAATTATTTTGTTTAAATTTTCACAAAAATTATTATTTCAAATTAAATTATTCAAAATAAAGTTCTTTATTCTTACATTGCTAATTCCGACCTGCGAGGCTCCCAAAGCAGCGTTGACGTGTTCAGCGTTGGTGTAGGATTCGGGCAGTTTTGGTGCTTCCTGCACAAAGATGGTGCTCGCTGGTACCAAGACGCTCTTGCTGTCCAAGGGCTTCTTCAACAGGATGGGTTTGGGGATCGAGATGGGCTTCACGAAGGGCTTCTTCTTGCCAATGATGATCTCCTTCTTGGGCTTCTCAGGCACGATCTTCTTGGGAATGTCGACGGCGACCACTTTGGGGACTTTGACTTCAATCTTGGCGACCTTGACCGGGGCAATGGGCTTTTTGACGATTTTCTCAGGCACGAGTTTGTTGACGACAACGTAGGTGGGTGGTTTACGGTGCTCGGCAGTCAGGACGGGAAGCTTTACTGGAAGCTTGGTCACGAGGGGGACCTTAATTTCAGGCACTTCTGGGATAACTGAAACAAAATAAATAAAAACGGTTGAGAGGAAAATAGGTACCCAGAAAAAAGTACGAAATATTTTAAAACATATAAAAATAGGTAAACATTATTGCTTTTTCAAAAGAATTTTAACGTGGATTCAGAAACTGAGCGAGAAAACCAATGCTCGGAAAACGAATTAAAATGTCCAAATTTCAACTTTTAATTGTTTTTCTCGCTCAGTTTCTGAATCAACGTCAAAGTTCTTTTGAAAATTTATTACAGGATCTGAAATACACTAAATAATGCAAACATGACACAACTCTACACTAAAATTTACAAAAAAGCACACGCACTAACAAATTAACAAAAATTATTGCCTTTAAAATTTATATTTCTTATAAAATAAAAATTAATTTCCAAAAATTATTTGTAATGATGTAGACAAAAAAATAATAGCAATAGCTTCAAAAATATTTTTTAACAAGAAAATTGGTAGTTATATTTATTTTAAAATTTTAATTAAAAATCTCACCCTCTTCAGACTCTTCTTCATCACCTACGGGGAATCCCACGAAGGACAGAATGTTCTTAGGAATGTTGGTGACAAAATTGACGGCCTTCCTGACTTCTTCGGCCACTCCGAGGATGGGCGTCAGCATGGCGAGTCGGCCCTGATCGACCTCCTCGTTGTCCCCGTAAAAAGCCTCAGCAGGATTTTCGTAGACCGGCATCACTTCCTGAGGAGGCGCGTATTCGGCCGCGACCTGATGAGGGACCATCTGGGCCGTGGGGTTGTTGGCCAATTCCTCGGAAGGCACGGGCAGGATTTCGAGCTTGTTGTAGTGGTGCAGACGCCACACGGGGTACTCGGACAGCGAGATGAGTTCGTGCGTGGCTCCCACTTCCTCGTGAGTGGCCTCCTCTTCCTCGTGGTCTTCACCGAAGGGCAGTTGAACGAAGTCGCCGATGGCCTTTAGCGCCTGGGCGGGCAGAGATTCAGCCACGGCTTCGCGAACAAGAGCAAAAGGTCCCGTCGGCGAAGGGGCGGCCAGCGTTTGGCACGCCAGCAGCATCACCAGCATCTAAAAATAAGTAAAGTGAAAATATTTTTAAATAATACTTGATTAATAATAACATTATTTAACATAAAAAAAAATCATTTACTTGATAAAGGAGGCGTTAATTGATTAAATTTATAAAATAAGCTGTAAAAAAACCAGAAGTGAAAATTTTTCAATAAGTTTTTTTCACAAATGCGACATTCCAGAATTAATTTAAACCTTAACAAATTATCTTGTCAGAAAATTAACTTTTTTTAAATTTTTTTTTTGTTATTTCAAATAAACTTCCGGGAATAGTAAGATTCAATTTATTTTCCATTTCAAAACTTTCATAAATTATTTAAATTTCATTTAATCAACTTATTTCCCGTCTACTTAAACTTTAAGCTCGCACGCTTAACTCGTTCTTAATTGCATTAATTACGCTCAAGGATTTAAATTAATTTAAACTCGTGTGTGTCTGACTTTGCAAAACCTAGTTTAGCACTTCAATTTGAAGCGCTAGTTGCCAAATTGATGAGTTTTGCCCGTTTGCGTCACGCGCTGGGGAATGGAGTGCGCTAATAAGTAGTCTCACTTTCATGTTCGCAAATAGCGTTTTAAGGACACACGCGGGTGTTTGCGTTTTTTTTTACACAAATTGCGTATGGAAGCAGCTGACTTCTTAAACATATTATTTTTGCTCGGCAAACAAGCCGCTGGAGTGAGTTGTTTGCATTTCTTTGTGGACTTTTCTAGTTATGCACAAGGTTGGCCGTATTTTCGGGCATCTTCCTTGTTTCAATAAAAAAAAAATGTATTTGAAAAGCATTAGAGAGAGAAATTGGCCTTGCAGAGCAATAATGAAAAATCACACGCGCGCCGCCACAATGAAAACGAACGCCGAGAGACGAGCGTCGCAATTTGATGAAGAGAAATTCAATTTTCCATTTCGTTACGTGCACTCGAACGAAGCGAGTCGCACACCAGAGATAGCGCGTATGAATATGCACTTAAAAGAATAACGCGACCTTTCTAACTCGCTGCCAAGTTCGTACGCATACACACTCCTCAAATTGTCTAAATAAAACAATTCGTATGTAGAAATTTGCATCACAAAGAAATTTCTGAAGTGTCGAAGAGAAAAATGTAAATTCTTTTGCAATGTTAAATAATTATCACTTTTTTGTGAAGGAAGTTTACGATTTGCAATCAACTGACTCATGTATTTTTTAATTGTAAATTTCATGTGAAAAATTATTTAATTTCCGAAAGATTCTTTTCAAATGAGTATTTTTATTAGTTTATTTTTAGAATTTTTGACAATATACAATGAAAAATCCATATGATCTACAAGATATAAGTAATTTTACTGTTCTTCAACCTAATTGCAAAGAGGATCACAAAATAATTTATAGAAGTGTTTTCATTTTTTTTTTTTATATCAGTTCTTTCCATAAAGAATTGATCTGCTAATATTAAATAAAATATATAAAAATCTACATGGCTAAATCATTTTTTTTTTAATTTAATTATTAATGTATTAAATTAAAAAAATAATGGAAGCAAAAAGGAAAATAATTATATAATAATCCTTTTTTTTAACAATTGTTTAATGCTCTATTAAATCTAAATAGAAAAATAATGCCACAAACATACCACGCTCTTCATGTTAGAAGTTCCAATTAGGTGCTGACGTGAGCCTGAAGGTCGATTAGCTCAGGTCACAACGGGTCACTAAATGACTATGGGCGAGAACTGAACAAACGCCGCGCATTTATAGAGTACGGAGGTGATTAGGTGGCCGCAAACACTTAACTGTTAATTGCTTCCTGCTTCCCAATGCATTGACACACATTCCAAAATTAAACACAAAATTTTTCTAGTAAGAACGATTCAATTTCTTTTTACTCTTATTTCCTTGACGAATTTAATGGTTCGAGGATAAACGATTTCTTTTTACGACTATTTGAATAATAGTCTCATGCGCAAATTTACTTTTTGCAAGAAATAAAAGAAGAGTGTATACGTGATGTCCTTGGCCCATATTCTTGTATAATCGTCGCGCCCGTCCGATATCGTTCTTGTCTAATAGGAAGTGCGCTTACCAAACAGCCAGAAAGATATAAATTTCATGTTTATCTCTCTTGAGCGAAGAAGAAATTATTAAATGAAAAACGTGAAATATGGAATCTTTTCGCTCTTTTGCATTCAAGCAACGTTCGAGTAAAATTGCAGAGAATAAAAAAAGGAGCAAGAAGTGCATTTATGCTTCGCCGTTCATCGCATTTTCCATCTCAAGACGAAATTGGATTCGCTCTCTGGGACGACCGAGTCCGGCTGACAAACTACAGGAGCCGTGTGTGTGCGTTGTGAGCGAAATTTGCATTTGCAAAATTGCACACTCGACACTGTCGCCTGGTTTTTGCCTCGAGCTGGATTTTTTTTTCTTTTTAAGTTCCATGCAAAAGACCAACTTTATTTATTTTGATTTTTTTTTTTTTTTTTTTTTAAAGAATATTTGTAGTGGCGAAACGAGATGACGCTAATTGCAAGAAAGGAAACTGCCTAATTTGGTTTTGAAACGTCATGCCCGCGCGCCCTTTGTGCAACGCGTATTAAAAGGCAGCGCAATCTGCAACAATTAATCTCGCTCGCTAGCGCATAATTCTTGATACATTTCAATTAAATATGCTCGCAGTCTGTTTTAAATGAGTAATTTATGTAAGTGCCTGGAAACAATCTGTCCATCTTCCAGTGCATTCTTCTGTTGCTTTTTGGAGCAGAGATTTTATGAGGAAAATTTTCTGTCTGCACTTTAACTTTCTTCTTGAGAATATATTTCTGGACTAGAGCAATGAAATGAGGACGCCACATAAAATCTGCAAACATTTTACTGTTGAATTTTTTATTTGATTATCATCATAAATATCATGTTAAAGAAAGAAGATGAATTCGCATTTACGACAGATTTCAAAATGCAGTGTAGTAGGATCAATAATATATACTGCTGAATTTTTACAACACATAATGTATGGAACAGAAAACTGCGTGATTTAACATGACGGGAATGCATTCTTAAATTTTTAATTTAGATCTCAGATTATTAACGATCTATGATTTTTATATGCACATTATGAAGTTGATGAATTTACAATTTTGATATAACAAAACTTGAATATTTTATGTTCATATCTGTCATAACAATTTTAAAACCACCCAATATTTATAAAATAAATTAGACCAATTGTATAATGTAATTAAAAATATGCATTTAAATTATGTTTCCTTCAATAATGTTATTTATGTCCAAAGAATTATAAAAATATAAAAAAAAACACAAAAATTAAATAAATTTTATTGAAAATATAAAATATTTTTAGATTAAAAAATTTTAATTAGTAGTTTAATTATTTTTTTAATAATAACAACCAGTTTTAAATATTTACTTAAATCTTTTTGAGTCTATTGTTTTCCAAACAATTTAGCCTCTCAACAAGAAAAGAAAGACCTCTCACATTTTTTTTTTTTGACATGCGCAGACTACGAAAATTCCTCTTCTGAAAGCGGCGCCTGTGCTGTTCTGTTGGATAAGCGCGTGGTCTTTTAAAATCCATTAAGAAAATGTGCTGATCTCGGGCGAGCGTCAATCGCTGCATTTCTTTCGCAGCCTTTTCACACTTATGCTTAATTACCGAACATTACTGGACACAATTTCACTTTTACTGCTTTTTTACTTCTCGCCGAGGGAAATTTTTCATCCTTAAATCGCTGCTGCACGCCGCGTTGCGCAACTCGCTGCTTTCTTCAAAAATCGAGTGTGGTGCGTGGAAATAAAAATGCCAAACTCTGAAGGTGCTATATACAGCAGAAAATGAGTTTATTTATCGGACAGAAGCGGAAGAAACACTCACATCAGTTGGATTTTCTATATATTTGGAGAGCGATGCGGCACCACTACCAGAAAAAAGACAAGTGCTGGAAATTATCAGAAAAAGACACAGCACTTTTTTTCATTCTGAAAAATATCAGGGGCGCAGCAACTTTGAACCTCCGCGGCTTTTGATTCCAGCCATTGACTTGGACGCGAATCTTCGCCGTTGTAATTCTGTTTTCTTTCGACTGATATGAGAGGAGCGATCGGTTCAGAGTTGCCTCCGTCGAAATATAGACATTTAATATTCTTTGCACATGGAATGTTTATTAGGTGGACAGAAAAATTTTCTGTTTGTTTAATGAGAGATAAGAGTTGAAGGAGAAGTCGTAAATTTTAATCACGTCCGATAATCAAGTTCAAACTTTTTTTCAGCAATAAAATAAAAATACTTTTTGTTAATTGTTTTTGGAATTAAAATTTTCGCACGTTGGCGAAAATGACTCACTTGAAGGTTGGAAAAGTTTGAACTTGAATCGATCGGAGTTCAGTTTGAAATTTAACAGTGGCGCGTTTTAATGAGGCATCAAGAGTCGTTCCTTGGAGTTCTGGTCGTCAAAGTGTTTGTCTACGAGACCCTCCGCGGCTCCGACCTCCCGTTTAAAGAAGTAGCGCTTGTCGTAAGCGTTGGGCGCCGGGTTCACGCCTCGCTCCATGTCACCCTCCAGCAGCTAAAATCAGAAAATAAACAGTTTTTATCAATAAAATAACTTTCTTTTTGTTTGAATTCAAGAAAAGAAAAAAAAAGAAGTAAAAATACTGGTAGAGCTTGTTTGAAGAAGTTGACACTCGAGGAGATGATCATGGAAATGAAGATTCGGGCTTTTCCTCGTTGCAAAAAACTGTTTTTCATTAAAAAACAAACGGCTCATTTGTTTTTGAATAAAAAACAATTTTTTGCAACGAGGAAAAGCCCGAATCTTCATTTCCACTGGTAGAGCTATTAATATTTTGAATTAAAACAGCATTTGCAACGAGGAAAAAGCCCGATATCTTCATTTCTAAGTAAAAATACGTCTGTAATAATTAATTTTTTGTTTCGTGTCCCTTTAGCTTAGCTGATTCCATACCTTCTCCTGTATCTCACATTTATTTTTTGATAATAATATGGAAGCGGTTGATAATTTTAAATCTGTTAGAGCTATTGGGGCTCTTCGAGCAACCTTCACATTATCCAATTTGCTATATGGACAAGTTGTTATAAATTTTAGTTACCAAGCAAATAGGATTTTTTATTATTAAATATTATTATAATATTATAAAACCTCCAGAGACATCCAATTAGTGCAGTGAATCTTAAAGAAATAATGAAATAAAATTACATTTTTAATTATCAATACTTTTTGAAACAACTAGAAAGAGTTTAATTCATGGGTAATTTGTTATTTACTTGTGAATATTATGTTATTACCAAAAATTAAAATACGTTTACCCCTTAAAGTGAATTCAAATTTTATTAAAAAAAATATGTAGAAATTATTACATTATTTTAAATAAATAAAAATTTAAAAAAACTTGTAAACAATTCAATTTGCAAATCATCTTAAATTAAATTAATTTTACATTATTAATTATTATTAAATTATTAATTCTATTAGTTTTTATATTTTTCCTATATTAATTATTTAATTTATTAACCGTGTTTAATAGTGTTTTAAATATTTATAATCACAGCCCATGACTATTCCTATCTATGTGTATGTTTGAAAAATTCAACTTGTCATATCGTTTTTTCCCGTGGTATTATGAAATTAAATTGTAGCTAAAAGCTATAAAATAATTGAGGAAAAAATTGTCTGAGAAAACTGCATATGAAAATATTAGTTTGATAAAAGTGAAATAAATAAATGTTCTATCAAAGATAAAATCCAATTAAACTCACAATGCTAATTATCAAATTAATAGAATTAATAAGATAGAACTACACTATGACTTTCAATAGAGAGAATCTACATATAAAAAATACTCAGCATGTCTTTAAATAATGCCCATTATTATCGCAAATGACACATTACTGTATTGTACTTAATTTTAGTATTTATTCAGACCGAAAATAAAATTTGATATTCCTGAAGTCTGTTTTTTTTTTTGTATTTTTATTTAGAATAGCATATTTTGGTTCTGCTTCTTTTCACTGCAGATTAAATATAATGGCGCACATAATAGAGCGATTCAGACTTCAGACGCGATAATAGTTGAAAAGTGAAAGGCCGACTCGCTGCGGTTTCGGGTCGAAACGGCCCAACGAGCGGAGAGTGCATTTAAGGATGTGCGTCCGCTATGTTTATTTTGCGTTTGCTTATCGGAATATATGGCCTTGAGGGCACACATCGATTAAATAATGTAACGCGTGAAGGAGGGAAATACCCACGCTAAATTAAGTGCGGAAGCGGCGCGAAATTTACACTGCGAGGAATCTATAAAATGAGATGCGATCGTGATTTGACACTTTCCCTAGCCGCGGTGCTCGTGATGATGATCTGGTGCACGACGCCGTCGATATTTGTTTTCCTAAGCATTTAGACTGTAAAATAAACTTGTAGAGTGACGTGAGGTGAGGGCCATAAAACCGGCGTTGGGGGAGATTTGAAGAATTATTATACAACAAAGATTAATAACAACTTTAAAACTCCATAAATATCGAGTCGTAAATGAATAAAGTTGTCAGAGAAATTTTTACTCTCTAAATTAAATAATGATCTGCTATAACATTCGTAAACCATGTTTTCTTTTTTACAAATTTGAGCTTTTTCCAAAATTTTAGCTTCTATTCTTTGTCTAGTACCACTTTAGTAGAAAGTGAATCTCTTTGTGTTTGCTCCTTATTTCCATAAACAAGCAGGGCGCCTTTTAAAGCATCAGAAAAGAATTCCGTGAGTCACTGTTCGTCACGTCGTCGCTTTTCTCGTTTACGACCCAGAGCTATTTGCGTACAGAAGGAAGGTGCACCACGAACACACGCTTGGTTGCTTCCTAGCTAATTTTCATGCACAATTAATCAGCTTAAGAGGAGGCAATTATGGCCTGAACAACAACAACAACGGGGATGCGAGACGCTGAAAATCGGCTTTCAACAAGTTGAATCATCTTGTTACTGCATAAAAATGCGTGAAACGTGAATACATAATCTAGAAATTTCATGTAAATTCTTATCCAAGTAAAAAGTATAAATAAGAAAGAGTTGTTAAAAGCAACTTCAAAGAAAGAAGAAAATTTAAAAATCATTTTTTTAGTAAAATTAAATTTTCAAAAGAATTTTAACGTGGATTCAGAAACTGAGCGAGAAAACCAATGCTCGGAAAAACGAATTAAAATGTCCAAATTTCAACTTTTAATTGAAAATTTTAATTATTTTTAAAACAGATTAAAATTTCCGTTTTAAAATAATTAACATTTCCACTTAAAACTCAAAAATTAAGACAACCGGCAACACCCTGAACACGACTAGGATCATGATTTCGCTTATAAAAATTAAATTAATTAGAGAGAAAATTTACTTAAAATAAATTCTAACTTGGTTGCGGAATATTTTATATTTAAAAATTTTACTAATGATCTACATTTTAGTCGCTCATTATCCATATTTTATTTTATGGATTTCGACTTCTATTATTATCATTATCTATTTTATTGTTTATTTTTTACCTTGAACATTAGGAACTGCAGAAATGTTGAGCAAACATTAAAGTTTCTAGTTTTCATTCAGATTTTTTGAGCATAAAACCAACACACAAAATGTAAGCATAAGTATGTAATCAAAACTAATTTTTATTACATCCTGCTCGTTTGACATCAATTAAACTTGCGGAAGAAAAAGCGTTTTGTTGCATCAGGCATATAATGAAGGGTTCATCTCACTCAAGCATGTATGTTCTTATTTTCACCGCTCTCGAGATGCGTTTCGGTCATACACACACACAATTAATTTGCATATTTATGCAAACGACCATTATTCAACGAGGCAGAGTCGGAAGCGCTGTTTCTGCTGTGTTACATTTTTTTTTTACTCTTCCATCCCGACAATAATGCCAGATGCTCGGAATGGGTCAAAACCTGAGCAGCAGGTGTTGCAAAACTTGTTCGGGGAGCGAGAGAATTCCCCACGCGAAATTCATTGTAAAATTTATAATGCGCTTCCTCTGAATAAAGAAATTGCATGTGTTTGTCTTTGCGGATGGGCTCGGCGTGCGACCTTAGCTTATAAATAATAATAATAATAATTCTCTCACATTAGCTAATTCGTGGCAACAACGCTGTGTGTGGCTTTTTTAAATTCCCATACGATAAAAAGGTGAAGATAATTGCAATCCGGCGGAGGGACTGACTAAGGAAGTATAAGAACCTTTAATTAATGAGATTAGAACTAATTAATTTCCCTAGTCGCCTTTTCACTCTCAAATGGACCATTTTCGGCTGTATTTCTTTAAACAAAAGTGGATTTGAATACATCGGAAAGTGGGTTTGCCCAAACAAGGAGAGATCACTTTACTTTTTTTCAGATACAGTCGCGCTTCCTCATTCTGATGCGCACGAGACTAAGAGTTAATTGAGATCGCTCTCGTTTTCTTGCAGCAATGAGTCGCTTTCAAAATCAAAAACTGTCTCACAACCCAAACATGTACGAGATGTTATGCGTTAAAAAGGTTATCTGTCGCTTTCTTATTGTTACAAAATAATTATTTCTCTTAAGCATTTAATGACACTTTATCATGCGCAATTTAATTCACGAAAAGTTAAATAACATTAAACTTAATTTTTTTTAAATAGTTTTAACTATGCTTGTAGTAAAATATTATAAATAAAAGGCATCTTAATTCTTAAAAAGTATATCATTTATTTAAGAATTAAATATATTAGAACTTCAGTCAATCTAAATAAAATTATTACTCATATTTCATATATATAAAATTGAGTTATCACCATCTGCTTTGAGTTGGAATTCGACAATTGACTTAGAATTAAAATTGACTAAAAAAGGAACTTCTCTCTCTAGTAAAATATTTCTTTAGCATTTTTTTAAATTTTCTTATTAAACGTCAGTTGAAAAATCAGATGTTTGACAAAAAACCTTTTGCCAATGGATTTTTAAAGAATTAAATAAAATTAAATGCTTTAATAACTGTACAATTTCCTTTCCACACGTTCCAACATGCAGTTTATTTCTGATGTCCGAAGTTCGTAAAAACTTTTATGGCGCGCGCGGCGCTAAGTCAATTATTTACATCCCTCACGTAAGTTTTGCGACGCAAAAAGTGAGCTACGCAGCTCGGCATAATAATTTAGTTGCCGCTTTATGCACACCAGAGCTCTCGCTGAAAATTGCAATTCCTATAAAATTTCGCATAAAACCGATAAAGCGGCCGCCGCTTTTATATACGCAAGAGACCGTCAAAGGCGCAGATTATGCGCGCGCCCGAACACAAATGGGCCCTGCTTTGCTCGTTCCAAAAACACAACACGGTGAAAATCATGTTTGCAACTCCAGGTAATAAAGCTTGTTTCGAGCCGCAAAACATTGTCCGACGCCGCAGGTTAAATTCAAATTAGACCCAGCAAATTTTTAGTTCCAAATATGTGCAGGTTTTGTTTAAAATTTTCCCGTGAAAAACAGGTAGAATTGCGTAGGCGCAAAAGGAACATTCATGACGTGGTTGTAAACAGGCTCGTCTCG